AAGTGAGCAGACATCAAGCTGTGGATCTTGCCGCTCGCTAGTTCAGGGGCGCGACGTCCTGACATGAAGCACGTGGTGTGGCTCCGGAAATATAAGTTTTTTCTCTGTGCGGTTTTCCAGTGACACGGGCAAGATTCGAGCCAGTGCTCCAAATGATCCAGCACGGCAGAAACTGCACAGAGCATCTTACAATAGCTCCAGAATTTTCCGCTGGATATTGCTTGTGTTGCCAGCTCAAGCTTCTGCTGTCTCTCAGCTGCATCTTCATCTCCATCCGCATCTCTGCGCTGGCGAGGCTCTGCTCCCCCTTGATTGATCTTGCCCAAATCCCAGTACGAAAGCGGGGCTTCCAACTCCACAAGTTCCTGGCATGTCTGGATAATATATCCCCATCGCCACGTGACCACGGTGCACGAAAACTGGCGTATACTGTCTGAAAACAAAGCTCCAGGAGTCCCTAGAATGCAATGATGCAAAAACCGATCTTTCACATCTGAACGTGACAGGGTGGCTGCGACTGCCTTCAATCTCGGAAAAAAAAAGGGATCGAACTGCTTGAACGCATTCGTCAAATCTTTCGTCGCCCCATGCAAGATGTGAAGACAACCTGGAATCTGCAAAGCTTCCTGAAACAGGTAAGGTAGAACCTGCTGCCCTGCTGACAGTTCGACATTGTCAGCGGCCTCATCTGGGCTCCAAAAATCGACATCCAGCATGTAGGGGAACAGCTCATGCAAAGGCACATCAGCAGCGTCCGCAAAGCCGCTCTCGACTCCAAAGTCGGTCGTGACTGCCCTCACCTGTAGAAGAAACACTTGCAAGCCGGAAAACAAAGAGTTTTCGAGCAGCAAGGCATGCAGAAGAGCGTGTATCTTGTGGATAAGGGATGCCCTGCGGGATCCGACCGCTGTCGGCGGGCAGATGTGGGAATCAACAGGTCGTAGAGACGAAGCAAAGGTTCCCGATCCTTGCAGTATCTGCGAGATTTGACGTTCCAACTGAGACTGTTCATGAGAACAAGCGCTGACATCCTGCCGGGGGCAAGCTCTCTCTTCCTCCTGCAAAGTTGCAACCTGCCAGGCAAGGGAGATCAATTTCATGCCCTCGCCGCCATGCAGTGTGTGGTACTCACTGAGCAGCCAATCCCAACCCCTCTGGGGAGAAGAGTCCGCTAGCAACACCCTGGTGACAAAAGTGTTGCTGCCCCGCAACCGGGCGTTGAGGTCCGACATAGCCAGCATCATGCCAACATCCACAGCTAAGCGACCCCGAGACACAGAGGACACGTGTGGCAAAGATTGTAAGGCTGGAAGGACCGTCTCGGCTAAATCTGGCACTGCCAACCTGAGACTGCTGGCGACTTGTTTGACCAAATCCTCGGAATTTCTCATCAAAAGACAAGTGGAGACTGCATGTAGCAGAACCCGACTGCTTTCTTTTCGTCGACCGCCTGTCGGCATATCTTGAAGGGTCGGGTCGGCTGAACCATCTCCTCCCAACAGCCTCTTCTCAGCTTCACGACTCTTCGGGAAAGCTGAGCCCGGAGCATCAGCGTAGGCTGTTTTGTGAAGCTGATCCAAGTTCACCAGACAAGCTTCGACTTCAAACTGGATTTCTGCCACCTGCTCTGAAGAAGCTGCACCACTTGTAGTAATGATGGATAGCATCCGCCCACATAATCTGGCCAAAGCAGCCTTCTCGGACAAAGCTGTCTCTACAGTAGCCACCCGCTCCACACCATACCGTACTGGCTGCTTCCCTGTGGGGATGACGAGATCCGGTTGACCGAACAACCCTTGAAATGGCACGCTCTTGCAGTTGCGACGCTTCTGTCTCAGGTCTTCTGATGTGCATTGGGGCAATTGCCCTAGAGACGGCCAAGATCTGCAAGACGTCAGAAGTACTATAGGCCCCAAATCACTGAAGCACAAATCTAAGCACTCTGGCTGACCAGGCAGCAAGCTGAATTGTCTGGACCACTCTTGCACAATTTCCTTCACGGAGGATGTGGCATGGACAGCACCCTGTGCATTGAAGTGCTGCACTGTCCTCGGCAACAGGTGCTTGTTGACCTCACCCTCAGCTAGCAACCAGAATGATCTGCTGATGTAGTTCTGAGAGTTTGTCGCATACAAAGCTGCAGAAACTGGAGCCTCCAAGTGGACTGCATCAACAACATCAAAGAAAATCAGTGGTGGATGGGAAACATCGGGTAGCGGGCATGACCAAGAGTGCCAGGACAGCCATTCCTCCGCTGTCTGAAGCACTGTCCTGCTCTTGAACAATCGTGCTTCTGCACGAATCAAAGCCAGGCCCACCAACTCAGGCTCAGTCGAAGCTTCCAAATTCTTAGCGCCCAGCCAATACTCTCCTGTCTCACCCCACACCTCCAAGCACTCTGAAGCAGTTTTGGATAGCGCTAAGGCGGCGCACTTGGCCTGCAGTGCAATCTTCTCGGATCTGCTCAACACAAGACTTGATTGTCGTAGAAAGGTTTTCTCAGCCTGTCTATGGAGCCTTTGAACTGGCGTCTTGCTCTTGCCTTTGACATGAGGGGTGGAAAGCCACACAATGGCATGCATGCGCCATGCGCTGGCGCTGGCCAGTCTCCTAGGCCTTCCAGGCTAATCCCGGGAACTGCGCACTACAAGTTCTACAAGTCTACTTGTGAAGAACTCTGCTGTGTCCAAGAACTTTGCTGTCTGTGTCGTGGAGCAACGGCTTGAATACGAATCTGTTGCAATCTCTCCCTGAGCCTAAGTCGGAAGTTGATGTCTTCATGTCCTGCTCGGCAATCTAACCGTCAGCTTGAGATTCAACCCTGCCCGAGCATGCCTTGATTCGCGTGAAAACTGGTAAACTGGCATGGCAAACAACTCTTCTGCTGCCATCACATCGGCCCGACGCTGCAAATCGGCTCAATTTTGGCTCATGCCGGTCGACAGTAACACGCATTCTGGTGAGACCATGCACTTGTGAAACTCAAAACACACCTCGAAACACGGAGTGTCAAAGATGCGAGTAGACTACCGGAGCTTCGTGATGACTTTAGCAGCAGCATAATGAAGTAACGAGGGCCCCGAGTCCCGACGTCATGCAGCACTGCATGCAGCACCGTGCTGCACCCATCAAATCTCTGAGCCAGGTGGCCTGCTGTTCTGAAGTTTTGTCTGCGTGTTGAAGCTGATGCTGCAGTGCTGCATGCTGGCTGCAGCCTACTGCCTACTTCTTGCCGCCCTGGCCCGAACCGCTGGCTCCGGTGACCCTCACAAACTGGCGCTCAAACTCAGAGACGACGTTGGCCAGTGCACCCTGGCGAGCGGATTGGACTAGATTTGTTGAACACGCAATCACACAAGTTCAAGCAAAGCAAAAGCGTGAGCAACACCACAAAGATCATGATCAAACCCGGCCTTCTCAGTCTGCAAAGCCGCAATGGTCTGATGTAGCCTGCCTGTTTCAGCATTACAAACCATGTTGTCAATGTTGTCCACTGAATCACTGAATCTGAACTGTCTGAACTAAAGCACGGCAGCCCTCGACCCCGGCCTTTCCGGCCGCCTCTCCGAGCTGTCGTTGCGGCAGTGCGCCTGCGCGAGTGGCAGTGGTTCACACATGCCGATTCCGGTTAATTCGGTTCACCCGCACCGTGTCACTGCGTCAGACGTTTCACAATGTGCATCAAGGACGGGGTGACGTAGAAATTTTTGGGCGAAGCAGACCAGGCTGACCCTAAACTCCCAAACAGGGGTTAAGGACAGGAGCTTGTGGTAAGGTTTTTGTCTTGGCTAGGGTTTAGGGTTTAGGGTTTAGGGTTTAGGGTTTAGGGTTTAGGGTTTAGGGTTTAGGGTTTAGGGTTTCGGGTTTAGGGTTTAGGGTTTATGGTTTAGGTTTGGGAAAAACGTCCCCAAACTCAGGCCTGCGGCCCAACAAGTCAAGTTGTCTCTGGACCTTACTCCTAACTCCTGTCTTGATGCTGCCCGGACTGCCCGGCCTCCTGCCCTTCGTGAGGTTGTTTTGGTACTTGGTACCTGTGCCAGCGCCCAGGCTATGGCCTCGCTGTGACGCTGTCCGCAGCTGACGAACCAGACAGAGGCGGCACGGCTGAGTACTGTTGGCACATGATCATGACTCGACCCTCATGCTTCATGCGCTACAGATTCTGTGGCTGCGCAACCATCCTCAACGGTGGATTCAAAAACCAGCATTACGACTGACACTGGGAATCTAGACCGTCTCTTATCCGGAATGGTGTCCCAGGGTGAATCCGACCTGTGAAGGCCCCCCTCTAATCCCTCATGCTTTCGGGGAGGGCCTGAGAGGCAGTGAAGGTCCTCTCATCCTTCGTTCTTCGGGGAGGGGTCCCAGAGCGGGAGGGCCTGAAAGGGAAGGGCCTCTAAATGCTTCCGGGGAGGTTGCAGGGTGGGAGGGCCTGAGAGCGCAGTGAAGGGCCCCTAATCCCTCATGCTTGCCTGAAAGGGCAGCTTCCTCTTGGGTTCTTTTGTGTGGTTTTGGGGTGGGCCTGAAGGCCTCGTGCTTCTAGGGTCCCAAGAGCGGGAGGGCCTGAAGGGCAGCGAAGGGCTTGGGGTTGCAGGCTGGGCCTGAAAAAACTGAAGGGCAGCAAAGCGGCTCTAATCCCTCGTCCCAGGTGAAAAAGCGCCTCTAATCCCTGGAGGGACCGAAAGGGTTTTGAAGGGCCTCTAATCCCTCATGCTTTTGGGGGTGGGTCCCAAGAGATCATTTCGGGTATGGGGTGGTTTTCTGCTGCAGTTTGCAGTTGGGAGCGGCTGGAGTGGAGGGTGAGCAGGCCCAGCCCAGTGGCCAGGGCACTGGCAGTGAATCCAAGGTCAAGAAGAGGAAAAGGGTTGGACCCAAGAATAAAGGGAAGGGTGCGGCCAATCGAGTGGGACAGGCAGAAGGAGCGTGAGAGCCAGGTCCAAGGTGAGCAGTGGGCTGCAGAGATCTTGCTGAAACCAAAGACGCAGTAGCTTGAGCAGGTGATGGACGTGGCAGCACAAGCTGGGGCACTTAATGCTCAGATGTCGGATGACCTGTGTGCGACAAAGGCCAAGGAAGCTCAGACTTGTCAACGGTGGCTGGCTGCGGAGGCGAGGGCGAAAGGCCTTTCCGATATGCTGGCGCAGGAGCAGCAGAGGAACGAGAAACAAGGGACGGATATCGTGGCAGCAAGGGCTATCTTGGAACAGGCGCGGAATGACGCACACGCTATGTTGGAAAAGGTGCGGAATGACGCACAGCGTCAGCAAGGCGACAACGCAATGAAGATCCAGACTTTGGAGACTCAGGAGCGGGCGGGAAAAAACCGATTGGAGCGGGAGCTGGCCAACGCTAACTGCTAAGAGCGACCTGGTTTAGGCGGGCGGCGGGCCGCGGGCGTGGCGCTGCCGGGGCATTCCTTTGCTCAAAACCACTGCGTGCCACCGTGCGCCGTGTGTACAGCGCTGTTTGCACTGGTCCCTGGTGCCCTGGTGTCTCCCTGCTGCCTGGCCCTCTTGCAACACTATCTCAGTGTCGCAAAAGGTGCCTCATGCCTACAGTGTCGTGCGTCTGACAGGTGACACTATATCTCAGTGTCAACACTATCGGCATGCCAGGCAGGTGACACTATCACAGTGTCAACACTGCCGACCACTTAAACCCTGCCAAGTCCCATGGCGCCAAACGGGCAAGCCAAGACATGGAAGCCGCCCCAGCAACTTTTTGACCCAAACTGCCGAATCCGTTCAGCAGCTCGGAATCTATGAGACTACTGCATGCCAAAAGCAAAGTAAAAATACACTGAGCGCCAGTGTATGCGGGGCTCGGTGCTGCTATGCTGCTATGTGCGTCGCCTGCAGCTGCCTGCATGCTGCACTGCCGCCTAAGTTCTGCCATGTGTGTGTGCGCGCCGCCCACTGCCCCACTGTGTGCGACTAACGTGTCCTGCCTACGAACCCTGCCTCTTTGAAGTGTGGCGGGAAAAACGAATCAGAAACCTGACAGGGACGCCGAGGGGGAGGGGAGGAGCCTACGGACCAGTTGCACTTGCAGGGCAGCTTGGGGCAGAGCCTACCAGGCACGACATTTTTAAATTTTCAGAGCGCCTCACCTGTCCAGGCACGACGGTGTGATGTTAATGTTAGTGCCCGTCCAGCACTACAGCACTACTCATGCACTACACACCCTTTTGTTCCCATCACAACCGCTGCAGAAGAAACGGTGGAACACAATGGGCCCGAGGCAACTCGAATTTTTGTCTACTTTGCCCGGAAGAATATTTTTCTAAGAAGAATTCTCAGAATCCTTAAGAATACAAACAGATGTAGCAGCAGCCATGGCGAAACGAAGCGAGAATCGGGGAGAGCAGGAAGAGGAAAAGCATTCTTCTCTTTTCTTGCTTGGCACTCCTGCGTTGACACATGTGAAGACGAAGGTTTGTCTAGTTTGGCAGTTTGGCTCAACGACGAACTAGGACTCGGAGTAGGAGCAAGGAAGTCCCGAGTCCCTTGTCCTCGACTCGACTCAACTAACTTGACTAACACGTGGACCGTGACATAAGACTCATAAGTATCATAAGACTTACCGTAAATGAATTTTATTACCGTTAATTTCTTCGAATCGGAGACGACGACGACGACGACGACGACGACGACTACTACTACTACTACTACTACTACTACTACGACTACTACTACTACGACTACTACTACTACTACTACTACTACTACTACTACTACTACTACTACTAATACTACTTCTTCTTCTTCTCCTTCTCCTACTACTCCTACTACTCGTACTGCTGCTACTACTGCTACTACTACTACTACTACTACTACTACTACTACTACTACTACTACTACTACTACTAATACACCTACTTTCTTCTACTACGACTTCTACTGCGACTACTACTACTACTACTACTACTACTACTACTGCTACTACTACTACTACTACTACTACTACTACTACTACTACTATTACTACTATTACTTCCACTACTACTACTACTACTACTACTACTACTACTACTACTACTACTGCTACTACTACTACTACTACTACTACTACTACTACTACTACTGCTACTACTACTACGACTGCTACTGCTACTGCTACTGCTACTGCTACTGCTACTGCTACTACTGCCACTACTGCTACTACTGCTACTACTACCTACTACTACGACTACTACTACTACTACTACTACTACTACTACTACTACTACTACTACTACTACTACTACTACTACTACTACTACTACTACTACCTACTACTACTGCTACTACTACTACTGCTACTGTACTACTTCTTCTGAACTTCTTCTCCTGCTGCTACTACTGCAACTCTGATACTGCTACTACTACTACACGACTTTTTAATAATACTAGTACTAGACTAGTACCACTAACTACTTAACTACTATTACGAACTATTACGATTCTTTTTTTGTTGTTAGTTGTCGTAAATTACGATTACTAACTACTAACTAACAACAAAAAAATTGCATGACGCTGGTTTCAAAGGTTTCTATGTACTCCTATTGTAACTATTCTAATTGTGATTGTAATTTACTATCTGCAACTTGACTGCAATTGCAACTGCAACTGCGACTGCACTGTCACTGGCACTGCGACTCCGATCGCTGAATCGCTGACGACCAAGGGAAGGTGCCTGCAGGCACTGCAGGCAAGGCTCTCTGTCCGGACTCGACTCTGGACTCCGACTCCAGATCAGACTTCGGACTTGACTCAAGCTCAGATTCCAGTCTTAGATTTTTTTCAAATCTTAGAATGTCAGACTCTCAGCTCAGACTTCGACTCTGGAATCAAGAGTCGGATCTCCTCCGGACTCCGAACTCCGGTCGGGACCCGGACTCGAACTCAAACTCCAGACGCCGGACTCTGGACGCCGGCCGCCTTGAACTTCAAATTCCAACCTTAAGCAAAAACTTGACTCCAGACTGGACTTCTTCAGACTGATTTGAACTTCAACTCCGGGTCCGTCTCCAAAACTGGGCTGGAATTTTTTAGAATTTCAGAAATTTAAGTTGCATTTGAGTTGGTTTCCCAACAGGAAATTGTAGAAACCACCAGGGAACTTTTGCAAGTACCTACGCGCAAGGTGCGTCTTTCAGCCCCGTTCCGACGCGGACCACGGAGACACCATTGAAAAGGCACGTCCGCGACAAGAACGTCCTCCAACGTCAACGAAACGTCGCCGAAACGAACTTCCAGATCAACGACATTCGATACGTTGATGATGTCTCCTGAGGCACAAAAGAGTCACCGTGCGATCATGGTACTTGCAGACACGAAATCCTGACATATAATCTGCTGAGACGATGTGGCATGTGGCTCCACCATCCGACACATCACGATGCTCTACCTTCAGCGAAGTGCAGACGTATGCCGCGGCGAATTCGAATAAATTAGCAAACAAAAGTCAACAGAAACTGGCGAATGGGAACTAGCGAACAGGACTTGGCGAATCGAAATTGGCAAATAGGAATTAGCAAATGGGAAGTGCGATAGGAATTGGCGAGTAGGAAGTAGCGAAAAGGAATTAGCGGCCGAAAACCGGAAAAATGAGAGGTTCATCCACCATGTGAATTCTGTACTGAAACATCGACCGCTTCCGGCCGATCCTGGAATTAGCAAATCGGAATCTCGATTAAGCAAATTAATCAACTATGAATTGGGGCTCAGCTCGGGTTGGTCCATACTAAGTACTTATGGGTACGTGCTGCGCACTACTGAAGGAAACCGAACAACTTGGGGCGTTTCGACAGTGGCAAGTGCTCTGTATTCACGATGCTCTTTCTGCGCTTGTCAGGGGTGCCGTGGGCGACGTCGGCCGAGAGGCCGACGCCGACAACCCTGAGTTTAGAGTTTTTGGTTTAGGGGGTTTAGGGCTGAGGGTTTAGGGTTAAGTGTGAAGCACAGATGAGGACATGTAGTGCAGATTTCTTTTGGCTTGGTGAGACCTTGTTTTGAGTTTGGAAATCGTTTCCTGTTTGTGACCTGGTATTTGGTGACCAGAAGTGACTCAAGCCAGTTTAGGAACCTACCCACAGGGTTAGAGTTTAAGCTTTAGGGTTTTTGGGTGAAGGCTTCAGAGTTTGGGCTTTGGGCTTCAGGGTTCAGGGTTTAGGGTTTGGGGTTTGGGTTTAAGGTTCAGAGTTATTTTCAGTGAGTTTTGGCACCGACGCTCGTTTGGGCGCCACAAGTCGGGAGGGTTTTTCAGGGTTTTTAGGGTTGAGGCTTAGTGCTGGTGAGAAGCAAAAGGCTGTAAGGTTGAAACTAGTGGATTGCGCACTTCCCCAGCATCGTCTCTCTCAGCCATTGCTCACCCTCACAGACGCGGAGTTTCTTTTAACACAAGCAAGAAAGAACAAGCTTGATGTGAAGTCTTTGCTATGCACTACTGGCTACGGCACTGCTGCACTGTGAGAGAGTGCATAAAACATGTGCTCATGACCTTGGGCCCACAGCAACAGGGAAAACAAGGCTAAACATGTGCAGATGACCACGCTTCAACATCGCTCCTGAAGCGACAAACACAAACCTGTACATGTATCCCTTCCGAGAGGAGGTACAAGCTCCTACGGAAGGAAAAGCTGCAGTGGCTGTACGCTGGCCGGCTGGCCAACTCACTGTGAGGGCTCTCAGTAGTGTTAAAAATTTTCCTTCGTAGCAATTCCTTCTTCCTGAAAATGCTTCCTGACATTCACTTGCCTCTCATGCATCTGCGGGGCTCGCGAAGGCGTCTGGTTGATGAGCCTAGCGGGCTCGTTTGTGTGCAGCTTGTGCATGGTGGCAGACGCGTTTGCATGAGGGTTCGCATAGGGCATAGGATTGCGGCTCAGGTTTCTGGGCGACCTCTCACCCTTGTGACAGCACCAGTCGCAGCATTGGGCGGTGGCCCCGTCGCGCCAGTTTTCAACTGACAATCTTGTTCCTGCAGGAGAAGTGCCTGGAACACCGGCAGGGACAATCCTGTCGCTGCTGTTCCTGCAAGAGAGACCGGGGAGTGCCTGCTACTGCTTCACCACGGAGTCAGTAGAGAGCAAGCAACAGGGGGAAATCGCGAACCCGAGGCCTGTGGGACCTGGGAGCAGCAGGGAGAGAAATCGCGAACTTGAAGTCTATGGGCCCTCAAGACCAGGGAGCAGCACAGCCAAAATCGCGACTCTGACGCCTATGGGTTCCCCGGACCCGGAAGCACCAGGGAGAGAAGTCGCGAACCTGAAGCCTATAGCCACTTGGGATTTGGGCGCAGCAGGGAGTAAAATCGTGAACCTGAAGCCTATGGCTTTCCGGGCCGGGAGCCGCAGGGAGAGAAATCGTGAAACTGAGGC